CATTATATGCAGCACATGGCGCAGCTTATGCCCATGTTCCAGCCGCCGCCACCACAGCCGCAGCCGCGCATCGTTACCTTCAAGACGTTGAAGGATAATGGAGCGGAAGAGTTTCGAGGAGACAAGATGGGGGAGCCCCAGATTGCGTTGGATTGGCTTGAGCAGATGGACCGGGTACTCAAGAATTTGAGAGTCCCTGATGCAGATCGCTCGGAGTTGGCGTCACAGATGTTCCGGAAGGGAGCATATGATTGGTGGAAGCGCATTGACCAGGATCCACACACGCCCAAGCCATGGACCTGGGATCGCTTTGATCGAGCCTTCACGAAGGAGTACGTCCCCACCCGGTACCACGAGGAGAGGCGCGATGAGTTCGTTGCGCTTAAGCAGGAGGGGATGTCACTGCCTGAACTGAGACAGAAGTTCGACTACCTGTCCCAGTATGCGATGAGTCTGGTCTCCACTCCGGAGGATCGTTTGAATGAGTTCGTAAAGAAGCTACGGCCAGACTTGAGGCCGTACGCCGCGCTGATCACGACGACAGATTTTAATGCAGCGTATGATTTGATTGTGAAGACGGAAAAGAGCTTGGACGATTTGCAGGCAACCAAGAAGGATGATCGAGCGACGAAAGACCCGCGACCCGCAGCCAGCACCGGGCCGAGCGGGAAGAGTTTTGGATTCGGGGGGAAGAGGTACGAGAAGGGTTCTTCGAGTGCGCTGCCGCCTAAGAGGAGTAAGTCGAAGCCGTCTCCGTCGGCCGCCGCTAGCAACTCGATCAGAACGAGGAGCTATCCGCAGTGTGTACAATGTGGTAGGCATCACCCGGGCGAGTGTTGGCTCACCCAAGGCTTATGTTTGGGTTGTGGTCAGCCAGGGCATTTCAGGAGGCATTGCCCAAAAACCCTAGCAGCGAGCCTGTTTTTCCTAGAGCTCCGGATCAGCCTGCCACATCGCATCCAGCACGGAGTCAGCAGTCTACAGCCGCAAATAATCAGCAGAGACCACGTCCGCAGCAGACAGGCCGTGCACCAGCGCGTACCTACGCCATGCAGGGGCGCACAGATCCTAGTCCCAATGTTATCTTGGGTACGTTCATACTATTTGATTCGGTTATGCATGCCTTGATCGATCCGGGTTCCACGCTCTCCTATATCTGTGTTGGCATGCCTGCTAATTCTGCGATTGTGAGGAGTGACCTTGAGATACCTACCGTTGTATCGAATCCGCTAGGACATAGCATGCGTCTTCATCACATTTATCATAGGTGTCCGTTGTCCGTGCAAGGGAAGCAATTCCCTGCAGATTTGATAGAGCTACCACACAAGGAGTTTGACATTA